AAGGCACCAGAAGGAATGATACACGTATCAGACCTAGCCAAGGTACTGACAACCTTCGCGGAGGGCCTAGCCGGACTACTGGGCCACAAGATCCAACCCACACAGCTCCAAATACTCATGGGGAGCGTCCTCGGGCAAGTCGCCACAGCTCCAGCCACCTCAGTGGAGGACGCCACGCCGGTCCTCACACGAGTGACAGCCGAGGTACACTCTACACCGAAGAAGGCCACCAGAGAACCAAAGATACCGACAGCTCCCAGAAAGAAATTGGACGTTTCAACTCCCCTGAACCGAACCACGGCCCAGAAGGCAAAAACCACAGAACAAGAAGATATGAACCTGATCCAGTCGGAATCGGACCTGAACATTTCCATCGAGGACCACCAGAAGTCCCCGATGAAACAGTGGTGGAAAACATCAGCACCCTGAACATCCTTACATGGAATGCTCAGGGCATCAAAAACAAGAAACACCTCCTGCAAGAAGCAGCAGCCAAGGACAAGCTTGACATTATACTGCTACAAGAAACACTTCTACAAGAACACCACTGTTTCAAATTCAGTGGTTACAAGACATACAGGAGGCATTTCACGCAGGCGTCAACAAGAGGATGTATGATCTTGGTCAAGTCAAGCATACCCTCCTCCGAGGTCACGCAGCAATTTCCATGTGGGGAAAACATCGAGACACAGGCCGTCAAAATAACACTCCAAGAACGGGAATGAACTGTTCACAACATCTACAAGAACCCAAGGGGCTCACTGGAGGTGACTCAATTATTCGCTTCAGCCGCTGACCACGCCACACTCATAGGAGGGGATTTCAACGCACATCATCCCTTCCTAAGCTCGGTATACCCACAAATGAAGACGGCTTACACCTATACACCACCTTTCAAGACACACCCAAGATCTGCCTCCTGAAAACCGGAGAGCCCACCCACATTAGGGGAGGAAGGCTAGATCTAACATTCGTCTCTAGTGTACTACAGCCTTCGGCCTCCTGGCAGCTACACCCCACGCTGACCAGCGACCACTTTGCCACCCTAACAACACTGAAGGTGAACAAACTCCCCACTCCACCCCCGCCGACTGGGGACTCTTTAAGAAAGACTTGGCTAAGTGGCGCGAAAAATCACAGCCGGCCGGCGCAGCACCCGTGGACGAGACAACCCTCCACCAACAATTGGTCGAGGCGTTTCACCAAGCGGCAGAAGAGGCTATCCCAAAAACAAAACCCACATCAAGACAGTACAATGATTACTGGTACTACTGTCCCAGGGTGAAAGAACTCAACCACAGAGTGAACATGGCCCGAAGAAACTACAGGAGACATCCCACGGAAACAAACAGACATCTCCTGCAAGTCATAGTTAAGGATACCAGGGAAGAGAAGGAAGAAATAAATAACGTAAGCTGGCTCAAGTGTTGCTCCGAACTGAACGAGCACACCTCCCTTGGCAAGATGTGGGCCCAGCTCCGAAGGGCATCTGGGAAGGCAACACCACCACCACCAACCCATCCCAACCCAGAAGAGGAAGCCGAGAGACTTGCAAAACTGTTCTCTGACCGAGCAGCAACGAAAAACCTCCCGAGACAGGCGGAGGAGACACAACGGCGTCTGCGACAGGTCAGACTCCAGATGATCGAAGAGGCCTGCAACAGTGAACATGACACCAACAGACCTTACAACCAGCAAGAACTCCAGAAGTCGCTAAAACGAAGCAAGGACACAGCACCAGGGGCCGACAGGACAACCTACTCCATGCTTTCCCATGCCGGAAAAGCCGGACACGAGGCTTTGCTACAAGTCATCAATGCTTCGTGGACAGCACAAAGACTTCCACCGGAATGGAAGAAGGCATATACAGCCCATTCCGAAGCCCAGAGAACCAGACAAACCGAGACCCATCTCCCTTCTCAGCTGCATAGCGAAGACAGGAGAAAGAATGGCTCTCAACAGACTCAAGTGGAAAGTAGGCAGCCCACACCCCCACATTTTTGCTTACACCGAAAACACCGGCACAGGCAACAACATCGCCGAGATACTCAGCACAGTGGACTACAAACCAGCTCTGGTGGTCTTCCTCGACCTGGAGAAGGCCTTCGAACTAGCAAATCCACTGGCCATTACAACGACGCTCGCTGAAAAAGGCGTCAAAGGAAGGTTGCTGGGGTGGATCCAGAACTACCTCACACAGAGAGAAGCAAGAGTACGCTTTCAGGGAGCAACCTCAAGCTACAGGGTCCACGAAAACGGAACCCCACAAGGAGGCATCCTCAGTCCAATCCTGTTCAATGTCCTGATGGAATATCTTGTCAAACTTCCTTTCAGACAAACAGCCAAGCTCCTATGCTATGCAGACGACTTACAGCTTATAGTAAGAGGATCAAACAGACTAGCCAACACGCAACACGCGCTCCAACTTATAGAAGAGGAGTGCAACAGACTTGGACTCAAGATAAATCCAGCCAAGTCGAAAGCGATGGCCATCTGCACAGACACACCAGACAAGATGCTCTCCATACAAAACACGCCGGTAGTCTGGACCAACGCCCACCAGTGTCTTGGAATCTGGTTTGACCAGAAACTCACTTTCAAGCCGCAACTCGAGTATCTCAGGCACAGGACGAAGAGCAGACACAATATAATGAGGTCGCTCACCAGCACAACCACAGGAGCAAACCTCCATGTGCTCAAAGCCTACTACACGGCCGCCATCAGATCGCTGGTAGATTACAGTGCTCCAGCACTCATTGGACTGAGAGAAGACCGGATAGCTAAGCTAGAGGTCATCCAAAATAATGCTCTCAGGACCATGCTCGGAGCACCCATGTGGACCAGAATTTGCAATTTGCAAATGGAAACTGAACTACCACCCCTGGCAGTACGAGTCAAGCTGGTGACAGCCGGTCTCCTCGCCAAAATCTGTAGATCAGATAAGCCCACAGCTGCCAAAATTCGAGTCAGTGCCTCCCTCCACCTCGACCACAGATTGCGAGGGGCCACCTGGTCGCACGAGGCAAGCGAGGTCATCCGACACCTGCAAGCAGAAACACTCGTCAAGAACAACCAAGACATACGAGACAATGGTTACGTAGTTCCTCCACCATGGAGCCCTCCACCAGCCACATTCAAAATTACCGACCTAGGTGATAGCAAAACCAACCTCCAGAAGGAGGACCTCAAAAACATAACTCTGGAAGCCATAGCCACCGAGACACCGGCTGATGCAGCATCATACTTCACAGACGGCTCTGTGGATCCAAAACATCATACATCCGGAGCGGCCTTCTACACCCAAGGTCAGACCCTCCGATGGAGACTTTCTAATGACTGCTCCACCCTACAAACAGAGCTGGTAGCAATCTCAAAGGCCCTACAACACGTTGCAACACAACACAACATGTCCATCATAATTCACACGGACTCGAAATCGGCCATGCAGACGTTGCAACACAGTCAACCAAGAGACAACGTCCACATCATAACCTCGATCCTCGCACAGCTACAGGAATTCCAAAGACAAAACCGCCCAGTCGTCTTACACTGGATTCCCAGTCATGTAGGGATCGGGGGAAATGACATGGCAGACGAAGCAGCCAAGGCAGCCACACGTTCTAGTAGCGTACACATTCACGTTCCAGCAAGCGTGCAACAGATCAAGAATCACCTCAGAAAGACTAGCAAGCTCCACATCCAAAAGAGCTTCCTTCACGCATTCAACGCTGGTTCCCAATCAGCCAAATGGTACCTGGCGGCTACAAAAGGGGAACCACCTTTCGCTGACAAGAAAACACCAAGACAAACCCAAGTCAGCCTTCATCGACTACGACTAGGGTACAAGTGCTCCTGGCAGATGATCGAAAATGACGTCATGGAATGCACCTACTGTCAGGAGCCAGCAGCCAACCCACTTGAACACTATCTCCTCGAATGCGAAGTCACACAAAGCCTCCGAAACAGAACTCAAAACTCCCAAGAAGCACATATAACACCAGCGGCTACTCTAACCCGAAAAGCCCAAACAAACCACATTCACCACCTTCTCCGGGTCATCACACGATACCCACCACCCAGATAGCTTACAAAGTATCCTCTCCCAGCAAGTGCGGACCCCAGTTCGGGGGGGGGACGCCACTCCGAAACTGACCACGTCCAAGAGTGGGGGTTGGTGGTAAGCGTCCACTGATCGGGGGTCCGCTCACACTTGCAACCTGCAGTATCCTTCCATATCTGCAGGTAGGACAACCTCCAATCCCAATCCGGTCTGGCTGCTCCAGGAGCTCCAGCCGGAACCACCGAACGGGCCGCCTATAGGCAAAGGCCCGTGTCGGACTACGGTCCGACAATCTCAACAACAACAGCCAGGGAGACCATTCTACTCTGACCTACTGGACCAGCAAGATCTCTCTCCAGCACCTCACCGCCTAGCTCCCTCAGAAAGCTCCTCGCCCTACAGGAACTCTGAGCAAGCTACCCCTCACCTAGTAACTCCTTAGCACTGCACTGTACAACAATATATATATAGAGAAAACGCATTGTGATTTTCTATTCTACCTCATTCCTGAGTGTGAGATATCTACATGTACGTACGTTGTGAGCCTATACAAAGAGACAATAGACAACTAAAGAGAATTGATAACTGGCCACATGCCGTATGCTACACGACCGCCCAAGCAGCTAACTAGCTTATCAGTGGCGAAGTGGATAAGAATAACAAAAGAAAAAAAAAGAAAATAAGCTAGTAGCAGGTCTTATTATAAGAAAGACGTTCAGATATTTATTACATAAAGTTAAAATTTATTAAGCCAGGAGAATCAGTCTACCCTAACCCAACTTTCTTTATATTTCGTTCTCTTTTAAAGAATGACGTGGGGTAAATACTCTCCCTCCCTCACTACACTCACGTGACTCTGATACTGCTCATACGCCCATAAATGTAAAACCTCACTCCATTTCCAATTAAAATAATGTAAACCGTACAGATAACTTACAATATCACTTACTAATTATTTCCTTAAACCACCACGTATCTAAAACTGATAAGTATAAGATAAATTCTATAGCCAGACGAATAGACTCTTGAAATAACATTTAAGGAAGACTGGTAGCCCCTCGTGCTACAATGTAAACAAGACTAGGGAAGGAGAAGGAGCTGCCAGCCTACGTCGAGTGAATTTCTTCTATCCTCAGTATTTGACGAAGACAAGATGAAGAAAAAGGTTCGTTGACACAATTATCGTAATATTAGGGAAATAATTAGTCTATTTAACCTTCGTTCACTCCTGAGTATAATTAATGCGAACAAATTAAGTGGATTATAATGTTGATGGTTTTTACTTGTCTTTTGAGGGATTAGTCGTCTCGGTCTCGGGGTGTATTGTGTTAATTGTGTAGGACCTCATTATGTTATAGGCACATACAGGGAGAAGATAAGGGTAAAGGAGTGAGGGGTTTATGGAGGTAAGGGTTTGGGTAGAAGGAAGTGGCAGATGTTGGGGGTGAGAGCGAGATATTTAGTATTATCGTTTCGATCATCCTGCGAATTTTAGGATTTTAAGTTAAGGTAATTATATAGGACCAACCTGCCGGCGAAATTGATTGAAAACAATTATAAAAACTCCGGATTTTCATTGTTATATTACAGTGGACACTTGTAGTTTGTGGTAATATGTAAAAAAAAACCGGATATTTTTAAAATAAACGCTACTTAACATTTGTGGTTATGAAGAACAGACCTACCCAACCAAACCAAACAAACCTAACTTCAGCAGTATATTAAACAGAAAGAACTTACTATAATATGGTGAAATTTGAGGCATTTCTGGACTTGAGATTATATGGCAGCATCGGCACTATGCAGCCCAGCGGGTGTCATAAAGTCACAAAAAATTGGTAAACTTAATTTAATCTGAGTTAATAGATCGAGTGCATGTACCTAACCTAACCTAACACAACACAACTCAGATTAAATTAAGTTTACCAATTTTTTGTGACTTTATGACACGAAATAATAATCGAGAAGTGATTCACAGCCCGATTTATGCTTGTAGGACCATCATTTGACTTTATTGCAACTACATTTGGGTACATTTGGGTTCATTTGGGTAATTACTCGCTCCCTCGGTACAAGCACGCGATCTATTAACTCAGTTTAAATTAAGTTTACCAATTTTTTGTGACTTTGTGACACCAAATACTAGTCGAGAAGTGGTTGGCAGTCCGATTTATTCATGTAGGACCATTATTTGACTTCATTGCGGCTACATTTGGGTAATTAGTCGGACCGCCGAGAAAGGATTAAGTTAGGTTAGGTTGAAGTTATGGTTATTGTGCAGATTACAGCAACCAAAGAATTCCGGAAATTCACTTCACTCAATCTATAGAACTATTTTTTCTTTTATCAATTTATTATATTCACTTCAGTCAGACTCTGACTCTGAATAAGGTAAGAAATACTGCAACGGCTATTGTTATTATTGTGGAGGCTGACCACGTGACTCTGGGTTATTACCTAGCATATGGCCTTCACCCCCTGCTAGGGCCGTTGGGGGCGGAGGCCCCAGTTAAGTGGGTAGGTAAGGTTAAGTTTGGTTGTATTGTATATCCACAAATCACTCGTTTTTTTCCTCTCCCTCACTCAAAACCCAGAATTCCCATGCTCTTCCCCAGTGTTGTTATAGGAAGGGGAGGGGGGGCTGAATCACAAACGAGTGATTTCCGGCAAAAACGAAGGTCAGATTTGAACTAATCACATCAGAAAACCATTTTTTTTTCAAATTCCGTGGTTGCTTTAATATGCATATTTACCGAAAATATGTTTTTTCCTGTGGTTTGGGGTATTATTTCACTTGTTGCTAAAACACGATTCTCGACAATTTTACATTTGCAATCAGTAATTTTGACAATTCTAAGGCTCTTTTCTTCAATGGCATTTCTGGTGCAAATTACGTTTAAGTGAGATATATTACATTTTATGTATGTTCGTACATGGCGGTACACATGCAAAAAATCAAACAATTTTGGAGCTCCCCAGTCAGGTTAAGTTAGGTTAGGTTGGTTGGGGTTTTGTTTTCCAATGGTTTTCAATGTATTTTGAACACTTTTAACCTTGATTTTTACAGTAAATCTCTAGATTTTGAGATGGGAGGGAGGGGACCTAATCTCAGAGACTATTGATTTGAATCAGAAATGAAGGACAAATTCGTTCATGACACAACAAAAACCACGGAAAAAATGTAGTTTCAACTTCAATTTCGTGTAGTGGCAACAAGTTAAATTTTAACGTTTTTTGGGTGTTTTAAACGATTCTGAATTACTGAACTTCCAAATGGGTGGATGACCAAATCGATAATTTTACCAGATATTTTGGACAAAGATTCATATTATGTCCCAATGGGAATTTAATAACCAATATAACTTTTTCTTATATTTTTCATCATGATTTGAAAGAATATGACCTTCATTTTTGTTGCTGATGCATACATTATATTTAAGGACATGCGACCATAATTTGAATAAAGTGGGCACAACTTTGAAGATGAGGTATTTTGTGGTGTTAAAAAACAATGTTTTGTGCAATATCACTTTTATGATATTTTTCTATCCTGGGTCTACTGAGGAAATGCTGCCGACGCTTGTGAGCACAGTATCTGCTACTTTGTGTATGTTAGCAGTTTATTGCAAGTGTAATGTGCTCTTTGGGGGGGGTTCTTTTTTTTTAAGATTAAAATAGGAGATAACTTTAATACCAGGGCTTTAGGCTAGTTTAGTTCATTTTATGAATAAAAAGTTATGAATGTAGTAGTACAGTATTTGCTACTTCTGGAGTTTACTGCTAACTTAACACTGTGGCACTGCTGCTTTCTATAATTTGCCCTTTATTAAATGAACCTAACCTAAAATACTACAGTTATCTTGTATTTTAATATTCCAAAATAACAAAATAAATCCTTTTTATATGTATGAAGAGAAACCTAAATGGCAGAACATTCTCTTTATTTATCCATCACATTACAAAGTCATTGCCATTACATTACTGTATACAGAGATGTTTAAATCATGTTTATGTGTTGATGCTAAACTGTTAATATTGTTGTTGTTTAGGTGTTGCTGATGGGTAAGAGTGGGTCCGGGAAGACCAGTATGAGGTCTATCATATTTGCCAACTACATTGCCCGAGACACCAGTCGCCTTGGAGCAACAAGTGAGTTTTATTGACATAATAGAACCTTTTGTTTTCAGGTTATTTATGTATTTTTCATACTGAGATTAACCCTTAAGCCCTGGGTTAGGGGGCTGGTGGCAGTACCCCCCACCCGGGGTTAAATCGAGAAAAAATCAAATTTTCCAAAAATAATTTTTAACCTTTTAAATTGATAAAACCCCAAAAATAATAAAAAAAAACTATATATTCACCCTCGAGAAACTTCTCTGGCCGCGCAGAGGGAGGGAGGAGGGGGAGAGATAAGGAGACAGTGTTGGTTTGACAGCTGACGCTTGTAGTCCCTCAGCACTTAGCAGCTATTTTTTGCTCGCCTTTGTGTCCGAAGTGGCCAATAATGTATGTACAGTCGACCCTCGTTAAAACGGACTAATAGGGGGGGAAGGGTGTCCGTTTTAGTCGATTGTCCGAATTAACCGATTTAGGGGTTAATATTGCATTATACAGCTATGTGTATGTTTATTTGAGGGCCCCATCATAGGATTCCGTTTTCATCCCATTTCAGGATGCCTGAGTCCTCCGTTTTCTCTTAATCTTGGAGTGCAATGCACCAGAGACTTCGTTATTCCTTAGTTATGACACAGGATTTGATATTGCAACTGGGGTTGCAATTGTTGAGGCAACTTAGGTATGTCTGATTACAGTTGGAATATTCAAGATCCATTGTGAGTGATGTTTAAAGCTTCAACTGTCTTTATGGTTGGTAAAACTTGTCAAGTCTGTCAGTCTGAGTGGCATTTGTGAGGCCGTGTGTTTGTACAACCGCTAAATATATAAATATATAATGTAATGGTAATTATCAGAAACGCACATAGGCATGACTAGGTTTATTACAAAGTGATGAAAATTATACGATCAATACTGTACAGTGGGTAGTCCACAAAACATGTAGCCATGTCTCTTTATTTTAGTGCCCCGTCATAGGAGTCCGTTTTCTCTCACTTCAGGACGCCTGAGTCGTCCGTTTTCTCTTAATTTTAGAGTGCAGTGCACCAGAGACTTCCTTATTCCTTAGTAGTGACACAGAATTTGAAATTGCAACTGGGACAATCCCAGAACCAGAAATTTGATATGGACAGTTCAGATTTCCCTCCAATTTATCCGAAATCCGGATTAAAGGGGTCCGAATTAACGAGGGTCGACTGTATTTACTGATCTTAATACTTATTTGCTATAAATAATTCTTTTAGAATATTTTATTTGCATAATTTTTCATAAAAAAGTGCTTGGCAACAATCTCCAGTGGGTTGCCAATCTGCCTGACTGTCTTTGTGTTTGGTAGAACAAGTAATGCATAAGATAATAATAATTCCACAAATAAAAACATTTATAACATAATCATAGCATTGTTTCACAGTAATTCTACCCTACAATACAACTACACAACTTGTATCAATATTACTTTGATACAGCATGATAAAATCGACAAACAATGAAAATGAAACAAATAAAAGTAGGTAATTATGTTTAGGAAGCTTCCCTGTGGAACCTGATAACCCACGCTGGGCGTTTAAACAATGGCGGGAATAGGTTCGCGTTCTGGAATGTCACCCGGGGCTTAAGGGTTAAATGAAAATGGCAAGTTAATGAAAGATAGGCTCAAAAAGTATAGTACTGTACAGGTATCCTCGCTATACAAATTACAGCTAACCAAAATTCTATTCTTACACCTCTTTTTCGCTATATGAAGGTGATATATACTTGTCCCATTATTGGTCTAATTGAAAATTTAAATTGATCATCAGGCGAGACCCAAGAGTCAACTGGGGTGATCATTTTGGCCACCTGATGTGCATTGTTCTGTGCAAGTGAAGTGCTCCCTCTTTATCTGTCTGTGTTCATGCCATCCTTTTATGAAGCCGTACACAATGACATCTAAGCATAGTGATGATTCCTCTGCTGCCCCCACCATTGCCAAGAGACCCCACAATCCTATGATAATGTAAGCCAAGCTTGAGATCATGAAGCATCATGAATGGTGGCAAATTTCAATGTCAGGTAAGGTAATATACTCTACCAACTGTTTATAAATATTTTAGTAATTTTTTTCTTCATAGGCTTAAGACCTTAAATACCGGTCTTTTGGTAATTGTGTAAATTACGAGAAAAAATTCAAAGCACAGTAAGCTTCACTGCAAAATGTCAATACATACAGTATTGAGTTTTATTGATTGGGAACTGATTTAATGTTTTTTTAGGTATAATACAGTGATATTTTGTTGGTCAGGAACTGAACCCTATTTTCCAATATATTATGTTATTCACCATCCAAAAATTTGATAATCTAACCCATTCGAATAGTGAGGGATACTTGTATTAAGAAACATACTGATGTAATATTCATCAGTTACTTTTTGGTGTATTTCATATTATCTGCTAAGCTTCACTCTCTTAGGGACTTCCTGCTGAGGTGGCAGCCATGACATTTGAGTCTTTTATTCACTTATTTCTTGGCAGCCATGACAGATGAGTCTTTAATTCACTTATTTCTCATACCCTCTTTATTCCTTCCTCTTGCCCCTTCCCCTGTTCTCTCTCTGATGTACAGTAGAACGTCGATATAACATGAGATACGTTTCAAGAGAGATCGCTTTCAGAAGATGCATTTAATACTGTATATCCTAATTTTTACCCACACTAAAGCATACTAAGACAAATTACGTATCAGTAATACTACATTATTCAAAAACAACATTTTAAAAGATCAGAATCACATTGAAATATTACACGACCGTTAGCAGAGGCGGGAAAAAAATGATGTTGTTCGCTGTCATATTTCTTGCCTCTGCTGATGGTCGTGTAATATTTCAATGTGATTCTGAACTTTTAAAATGTTGTTTTTGAATAATGTAGTATTACTGATACGTAATTTGTCTTAGTATGCCTTACTGTGGGTAAGAATAAGTATATATTAAATGCATCTTCTGAAAGTATGAATTTGCCACCAGAGTTTAACAGTTAATTCATGTATAATACTTCTGATAAAATTCCTACGTGCTTATGTTTGAAATAATGAATGTATGTATCTTTATATAATTTAGCTAAATATCTTTCTCGTCAGAAGCGGTCATACCAACGATTATGAATAAACTCATTTAGAAATACATCATTACTTCAGGACAAAATCGCACTGATTTGCAACAGCCAATCAGCTGAGAAAAAACGCACTATAACAATACAGTGAGAGTGAGTTGCTGACCATCCTACCCTGTCCTCCTGTGGCGCCGCACTGGCGTATAGCAGTTGCGACAGACAGCGGCAGTGCGAGTGTACTCTGCCAGTGCAGCGGCCTGCCTGTCGCTCACGTATGCAGAGTTGAATTGACTCGTCAGTCGCCACTCCACTGCCAGTCCTTTCATCATTCATGCAGTGTTGTATGAGTCAACGAAAAAAGTGGCGCCGCCAGCGTCAGCATAAACTGCCGAGAAATTTGATGCCGTCAGCGTCGGCGTAAACGATTTCATAAATTGACGCCGTCAGCGTCAACACCTAGCATCAGCGAGTTTTCAGTGACGTTCAAATGCAGCCCCGAAATGCGTATTCTCCTGTGTATGGGAGTAACGTGCAAAATCAAAAAATATTAAATTAATTTTTAATCATTTATTATGATTTATATTATATCATATTAATTTTTCATTTGTTCCCCCTCAAGAACACTAGCATCTCAAAGTGCTTGTCGCTCATTCTGCTGTACTTGGGCCTCAAGACGTCCTTGCCCATGGAGAAGTTGACGAACAAATTGACGCTTGACGTTTGATGCTCTGCTCAGGTAAAAAGTTGACTGCGTCACCTGCCCAAAAAATTGACGTTAGCGTTAACAAAAACTTGCCGCCGTCCATTGACGGCGTTAAATTAACGGCGTCAACGTACAACACTGCATTCATGTCAGAGGCCCCAGGGGCCCAGAGGGTGGGTGTCGATGGCTCGATGCAAATGTAATTGAGTTCTAGTGCAACACTAGTACCTCTTTTTCTAGCTGGAGTGTATAGTTATACTGTACTATATGAATATGTAGAATGTTCTCCTTAATGTTCAAAATTTGTCACAAAAGAGTCAGAAAGTCTCTCTCTCTCTCTCTCTCTCAAGATTTTATTCAACTTGATTTGCATACTCGGAATAAAGTGATTCATTTCCAAGTTAGCCAGTTAGTCACGATTTCCTAGCATCTTTCGTTTTCTGCTTTCAGGTCATTATCATGGCATCTAAAAGAAAAAGGACGAGCCCTGTGTGGACTCGCATGAAAAAAATTGACCCAGGAAGTGTTGCTTGTGTCCTCTGTAAAGACAGCCTCAAATTCTGCGGTAGCACTTTATCCTTGACAAAACATATACGCACCAAACATCCAACAGAGTATGCAGAACTCCAAGAAGAGCAAGAAGGACATGTGCTGGAACTGGCAGGAAAATCAAGCAAAAAAGAAATCATGACACAACCAACCCACTTTGCTTGAAACAGTCAACAAGAAGAAAACTTACAAAGCAGATTCTTCTAGGAAGAGAGAATTGGACCAAATTGTCATGCAAATGATCGTCCAAGATCTACAATCGTTATCAGTGATGGATGACAAGGGGCTTAAATGTCTGGTCATTGCATTGGATCCACAATATGAACTCCCTAGTTGGCGAGAATTAACAAGAACCCACCTTCCCAACATTTACGACCAGGAAATTAAAAGAGTAAAAAAAGAGTTGAACACAAATGCTGTTTCACTGACCACAGACATATGGACCTCTAGAACTACAAAAGGATTCATCACAGTAAGAGCTCACTTCATTTTGCCGACATGGGAATTAAAGTCGGTGGTACTGGAGACAATTATGATGCAGGAAGCACACACTACAGCTAATATTGCCGAGGAATTAACAACCATTTGTAACAGCTGGAGCATTTTGAACAAAGTCTGCTCTGTTGTTACAGACTATGCAGCCAATATAACTTCAGGTGTGAGCAACATCATGAAGCTACGTCATTTACCATGTTTCGCACACACACTGAAATTGGTTGTAAGAGATTCTATTAAAAATACTGAGGAAGTTAAACATTTGCAAGAGTAAGTCAAACAGATCGTCACCTTCTTTCATCACAGTGTAAAGGCATCAGATAAATTGAGTAAGCTTCAAGAACAACATGGTCTACCTGTCAAGATTTGCTATAGTCCTACTTAGAACTAAGACACCTAAGAGACTGGAGTTGATCAGGTGTTGCCACATTTGTCTGGTTTATTTATTTATTGATTCAGTATTATATTCTCATATGATTGGCCTCTTATGATTTTCATCAAGATTAATATAACATCTTAAGTAATAGAGAAAAAATACAAGACTGTATGTAATTTGTATTATGACTTGAAAATAAAAGGATAAGCTGTATCAGAAGATTATTTACTCAAGATATGTTCAGGTGAGAGCTTTCAGCAGACCAGCTTACAACAAGGGTCACTATAACACACTGTATAGTATTTGATATGAAGATACCTTTGAGTGTTATATGATGACTCAGTTTGGCTACTTGTACATGTACTTAGACAAATGATTAATGAATAAATCAGGGTATATGCAGATACATAATGCTGTACTTTACACTACAATATTACTTAAGTGATAAATACACTACAATATTATTTATTAAGTGTTGATAAATACACCGCAATAGTATTTATTAAGTGATGATAAATACACAACAATACCTGTTTGCTCTTTGTAAACAAATGAGTATGAAATGACTCATGGTGTTCAGTGTAGGATTCTTTTTTCAGTAAAGTTGATTCTTTTAGGATAATATTTTGTCAACCTGTCAACAAATGATCCTAAATTATATGAGATTTGTGGTGAAATTGCATAAAGAAGTGTTAAAGGATTCTTGTGGGAAAAAGAGGGAGGGAACCACCCACCCCGGGTACCTCCCCCACCCCTCTACCAGCTGCTCCCAGATAAACATTCGTCTTCCACATACAATATACTCCTACACTTATTTGTTCTTATTTTTATAGTACTGTACAGTATACAGTTTTATCTTTATTCATGAGAAAAATTCTGTGGTTTCGTACATATTACACTACGGTAAATAACAATCATCTCGGTGACAACCAGACTTGCATTTCCAATTTTCAACCCAGAGAGTTCTGTTTCGTATTTATTTTTTTATTTTTGATGTAATATTCTTTTAATAACCTTGTTATACTGTACACTTAAAAGCCTTAGTTGTTGAAGTGCAGTAATAACATAATGACTGATTTTCTTTAAACAGTTCAGATAAGCAGTGTTATCTCCCTCCCACCCCCATCCCATCCCATATCTTCGCAATTCTCGGACTTTCGCATTTCCCGGACTGGGGTCTGTCCCAATTAGTTTGATTTATCGCGGTTCTACTGTATAATGTAAAACTTGATTGGGTAAATTGTTTCATGAATTTATTAAACAAAACAATGACATCCTTTCCCAGTCCTTGTTGAGAAATGGAAGTATCAGAGCTGAATGTTGAAAAGTTTGGGTGCTTGTTTGTGTGGTGGGGGCGATGGCTGGACAGCGGACCTGCCCTCCAATAAGGGTGGGGACGGACTTTACACCCTCCACCTTGACTGTGTGACAAACTTAGGTCCGGGACTGTACATCTGTTCCATTATTCACACTCTCTGCCCCCTCTTAGCCAGTCTGTGCTGTACATCCCATACTTTTCATTATTTCTCACCCGCTCCAGTCTTTTAACTCGAGATGAATTAAGTTCATCTCAAGTCCATTTCTCTTTGCTCTTTACTGTACTAAGGTAGGATTATAGTACAGTATTCCTCAGTTCCTTCTTCACTTCCAAACATAAATTCCTTTCCTTAGTGATACTTTCCAGAACTTCAGTGTACTTCCTCCTATGTAATGTTCTCTTCCTGGTTTTACTCTGCATTTTTTTATCAGTTCTGGAATAAGTATTGATTAGTTGTTTTTGTACATTGCAGTTGATGTCGAGCACTCCCATGTACGCTTTTTGGGCAACCTGGTACTGAACTTATGGGATTGTGGAGGGTGAGTATGGTGGCCATTACTTCTGTGGTATCAAGCATGTTGGGGTACAGTGGCTGAGTGGAGACAACTCTCAATTCTTGTCATGAGGGTTGTTGGTTCTATCCCAGGGAACCCCCAGTCTGCCCATCTGAAAATGGGTACTTAACTATAGTTGGGAAGTGAAGGTGGTTAAGTGCCGGTCATACTGCCTCCTTGTATATTGAAGGTTTATCAATATACAGTGGTCCCTCGGTTAACGAGCGCCTCGGTTAACGAGTTACCTTCCATAAGATTCTTAACTTCGGTTGACGAGCAATCCCTCGATTAACGAGTTTTTACGAGCCGACCTCAACATGTTTTCGCTTGCATTTGGCGGTCCACCAGCTGTAGTATTAGTCTGCCATTACAGTAATCGGTTCTAGGGCTTATATTCCTTACCACTTTAGTAAATATCAAGAAGTTTACAGTATTCAATAATTTTTAAAGTTTAATATTAAATTTTTTAGTAATTTTAACAATTATTGAACATAATTGAAGGGAAAGAAACTAGTTTCTGGCACGCCATCCAGCCTGGCAACACACCAAACAGGTGTTAGTCTCTCTCTCTTTTCAGTGGAGGTAACATCTTGCTTGAGACTCTCTTCAATTAAATGCTTTTTTCTGTGTTTCCAAGCAAATTATTGGTCATTTTGAAATTTATTTTACATATGACAATATATAATGCAGTGCAGTGTTGATTTAAAGAAAATAATCTTGAATTACACCAAAAGAACTAAAATTTTGTGGGTGAAATGGCGCCATGGGGTGACTTCTCTTCCACCCCAATGCCTTCTCTTTTCCCTTCTCCTCCACCCCCATTCTAATTCCCATCATCATCATCATCATCATCATCCAGGAGCCTTCTACATACACACCTCAAAGTAAGTGTACTTTTCTACCCTTTTTGTTGAATTTAGGCAATTTTTGGTGAGCTGTAACCAATTACCCAAAAACCCATTGAAACAATGGTTTCGGTTAACGAGCAACCTTCTAGAACGGATTGTGCTCGTTAACCGAGGGACCACTGTACTGGGCCAATGAAACCCACTTTTGCTATGAATGAAAATAATTATTAAATAAGTGAAATCTATGATACTTATGCAAATGAGTAATGAGGTCCATTTTATAAAAAATATACCATAAGGTGCTTATTACTTGTTATGTGATCTGATCTAAGAAATGGAACATAAATGTAATTCTTGGGTTAGGAGCATATTTGAAGCCTTGGAGGGTATACATTTAAATTAAAACATTTGCCCATTATTTGGAAGTATTGAAAGCTAAGTGTTTTTAGGTGACACCCTCTGGTGAGCAACTCTTGTTAGTGTGCATATCGGGAATGGAGGTCTGGTCAGCCCATTCTCACATTATTATCCCTTTTGACATCTGGAGCCAAGGTGATGATCACTCATCCCTCCTCGTCACAGCCACATATCTCAAATATTGGAGATTAGATGCAGAGGTTGGAGGCCTGTTTAGAGTATGTGTCCACCTAGGCAGCACACCCACCCACATAACGTCTGTCATGATTCCAGGACTGATCTTAACTTTTAGTGAAGCCAGCAGCTTCATAACCCTCCCTCCTGCTTGGGGTCATGTATAGTCATCTGGAAAACTAAATGAATTGAAGTTAACAGTTCAGCTCTGGAATCATGTTGACCTTAGGCCAGTGTGTACTGATTAAGTGGACTTCAGCCTCCCGGGAACAACCTTTGTATGTAATCTACCAGCTACCATAGAAAGTAAGGCAAGCTGGGCTCACCCTCTATCCCAAGCATGAACAGTAGTAAAGCCGCTTAGCTACAGCTTTACTGAAAAATGGGAGTTCAGAGTCAGTCCTTCATTTTTCTTATTTAAGTCTGAAACTCACCTGTTAATGACTATTTTTTTTTACCCTTTCCATAGATCAGGTTACTAATGTCATCAATGTAGCAAATCATTAATATCAATTAACTATAAGAGTACTACATGTAGCCACACTTTATTCAACAGGCAAGAAGCATTCATGGAGAACTACTTTGCTTCTCAGAGAGACAACATCTTCAGAAATGTTGAAGTGCTCATTTACGTATTTGATGTAGAGAGCCGGGAATTGGGTGAGTGAATCTTAGAATTAATATATGAAGTAACTAGCATTCAAATACAGTATTGGAATGTATATAAAGTACAGTATAGTTATGTTAAGGCTCTTTTTTTTTTACCCAAATTTGCTAAAGTCCTGGCCATCAAATCCATTGTGTTTGATGTTAGTTGTATGTTCAGAAATTAATGTTTGCTCTGAGAGAGGTAAAAATAATTTGGAACAATATCTGATATGTCTTAAAAAGGATAAAAATGTTTGTTCTAGAGGTAAATTATTTTATTTTCTGTGTGTTTTACCTAGAGAGAGACATGCATTACTACCAGAGCTGCCTGGAGGCCATTCTGCAAAACTCGCCAGAGGCTCGTGTCTTCTGCCTCATACACAAGATGGATCTGGTCCAGGATGATCAGAGGGACATTGTAAGTAATCATTGTAAATACAGCTACTCCTCGACTTACGACCACCCGGACATACGACCGCCTCAGTATTACCAAAATTTTGTCAAATTACTTATTTTCGAGTCCCAACGTCAGTGATTGCGCTGTGTACTGAAAATTTTTTCGTTTGTAATTCACTTTAAAATGGCTGGCAAGCTTAAAAGTGAGAGTTTTGTGGTGCTGAGAAGAAAAAGAGACACCCATTTTAGATTTTCTATGTATTATTTAAGAATTTTCGACTTACGACCATTTCGACTTACGACCTGGATTTGGGTCCCTAACCCCATCGTAAGTCGGGAAGGAGCTGTATTTGTTTATCAGAGAGATCTTAAAGTATTAATTTGTATTACATCTTGTATTTTTCAGTAGCATAGGATCAGGCCTGAGGAGGGGGGGGGCTGGGGGGGCAAAATCCTGAAAAGGGTAGGGTAAAATGTCCTAGTTAGTATGCACAGTTCCTAAATACATACACATATTTGTAATAAAACAATATTGTGCTCGATAAATTGAAAACTCGCTCCTTGAATGTTGGCCAATGGGATACCTTCAGTTACCCTTATGGTGAATTTCTTAATGATCTAATTTTAAGATATAAGTTTCTGGGAACTTTTTTTATTCCAGTCATTGTATTTTTTATGTGCTGTTGTTGATGAAGTCTTGGTTGTGCTTATGAATTAGTGTGCTTACTTAATTTAGCTGTCGACTCCATCTGGCACTGATGCATTTAGAATATTTCATATGTGCATTTTGAGGAAGACAGTGTCTCAGTAGCTGTGTTCCTAAAACTACACACTCAATATGAATAATTCCAGGGTAGATGGATACATTACATAATTAGATAGATAGAAAAATATCTACATTGACAGAGAGATAGATAAACAAACAAATATATAAATAGGTAAATAGATTTTTGGTGAGTTTGTATGTTTATCCGAGTTTTAAAGCATAAAATATGTTATTAATCTGTTTTCCTTTGGTTTGAGCTAATACAATATAAGTAAAAAATTATGAATATACTGTACAGCAAACCCCCAAAGTAACGGATACTGTCTACAATGGACCTCGGCTTTAATGGACCCGCTGACCTGTTCGGAATAGGTTCATGTATTACGGACTCAGATCCATTATGGTAAAAATAATTAGGGACTCAAATACTTGAATTACTGAAAAATCCCAATTAATCCAGTTCTGAATATTTCGACATTAGAGTATTCAACAATTTCTGAATTTTTGTGTTTGATCATGTGTTTGTTTTATGTTCAGTTTGTTCAGATTGTTCCTCATTATTCCAACCAACAAACATACTCAGTTACCATGCCTTGGCTGCCCCATAAAATATTTATTTATAATTACAGTAAAGCATCGATTAACGACGGTAATGTGTTCTGCAATATTGCAGTGTAAGGTGAATCATCGTATCACGAATCATTAATTACCATTAAAATAAAGCAATAATAATGAGATGCGTTCCCAAGTGTGACCTTTTCATATCTTTTGTGTGGCTTTTTACCCTCTTTTCCCCCCAAAACAATACAATTAATGAAAATTGCAAACTATATTCTTTAAATAGTGTTTCTGAATGCACCTTATACAATATAAATGAATAATAATATGGTCACACAAGAGGAGATGGGACGCCATTGTTTTCGTTAGTGTTTACAGCCGGGAGTCCGGGACGCTAGTTCTACACGAGAAAATGAAGAAAATAAGACCCTGGTTGTAGCTGTAGTAAAATTAATGTAAAATAATGAATATATATGTTTTAAGTAACGTTATTTAATGTTAATAAATGGAACAATCAAAGTAGCTAACCACTAATGGCAAAGAAAAAAAAAAGAGATGGATTGGGAACGCCAACATATACGTGCGCATTTAAGGATACCGGGTCATTTATCTTTTTAAGAATACAGTGTACCCTCGGTTAACGAGCACAATTTGTTCCAGAAGGTCGTTCGTTAACCAAAAATTTCGCTAACCGAATCCATTGTTTCAATGGGATATTGGGTAATTGTTTCCAGCTCACAGAAAAGTACATACAAAGTAAAACAAAAATGCAGTAAAGTACACTTACTTTGAGGTGTGTACTGTATGTAGAAGATTCCTGGTTGATGATGATGATGATGGGAATTAGAAGTGGGGTGCAGGAGAAGGGAAAAGAGAAGGAAGTGGGGATGGAGGATAAATCACCTTTCAGGGGACCCATGCTTGATGTAGTAATTTCACCAATAAAATTTTAAGTTCACTAGGTGTAATTCAAGATAATTTTCTTTAAATCAACACTGCACTGTGCTATATATTATCAATATGCTCACTAAAGTTCAGAATGACCAATAATTTCAATGAAAAATGCAAAAATATTCAAGACACCAACAAAACAGATGCTCTCTCCACTGTTTTCAAAGCCCAACTGATGCCTTGTAGCCAACTCACGCATCTGATGGGCGCGCAATAAACTAGTTCCCTGTAGTACTGCATATATTATCAATATGTTAAATAAATGTTAAAATGACAAATAATTTTAATATAAAAAATGCAAAAATATTAAATAGCACAACTTTATTGATATTTACTCCATTAGAAACGAATGTAAACATAGAACAGATTACTGAATTGGTAGACTAGCCAATCAGCTGATCAGCTGATGCTCACAACAAAACGTGACGTTCGTAAGGATTTAGTTAATCAAATTTTTGTTCGTTAACCGAATTGAAGATTTTTATGGAAGGAAATTCGTTAACCGAACCGTTCGTTAACCGAGGGACCACTGTATGTACAAAAGATTCATTATTGTCTATTACTGAATATGTATTTGATTGAATTAATCTTTATATATGCGAAATGAACAGTGCAATTCATTAATAATATATAGAATATTAAAACAAACAACAGGATAAGAGACGACATTGTTGTCAGTGTTTACACCTATAAGGTCAGTTATCCACCTGAAACTGAAGGAAATAAGACCCTGGTTGTTGTTGAAGAAAAATTAATGTAAAAAATTAAATATCTGTATGTATGTTTTAAGTACAGGTACTCCCCGTCTTACGACCGACTCGACTTGCGTCCACCCGCACTTACGCCCTGCCTCAGTCGTACCAAAATGTGGTCAAATTATGTATTTTTGAGTCCCAAAGTCAGTACACAGACAAAATTTTCATCTGTTATTCACTTTAAAATGGCTGACAAGCTTAAAAGTGAGTGTTTTGTGGTGCTGAGAAGAAAAACAGACCCAAATTTTCGATTTTCTATGTGTTATTTAAGCATTTCCGACTTACGACCATTTCGACTTACGACCTGGATGTCAGTCCCTAACCCCGTCTTAAGTCGGGGAGTATAATGTTATGTAATGTTAGTAAATGGAAAACTAGAAGTAGCTAACCACTAATGGTAAAGAAATAAAGCGAGACGATTGGGAACGCCAATTTATGTACAGTAAGTGCGTACATGTGAAAACACATCGTCATTTCTCTACATATGAATATGAAAGCAACACTTATTTACTGTTCATATATGTTTTAATTAATATTTGTGAATGTAAAACAAAAATTCTACTCACCAATAGTGGTGAAGTCTAAAACATAAGGACAGCCAATGATGTTGTGCGAGTTTTTACTCAGATGACGAAGTCATCAGGTTCAACTCTGGCTGAAGCTGTAGCTTTCCATAAAGCTGTTGCTGAAACTTACTGAACCTGAAGTTGTTGTTGAAGGTGCATATGATGGTGAATTTGATGGTGTAACTGAAGTTGTTGGTTTAGGCCTTCAAATAATAAAGCTGTTGAAAGAACCTTGCACAGCTGCTTTCTTTTCTCATTATACATCTTTATGTAGAGGTCGTTTGCTTTGATTAAAATTTTAATGCTTTGTTGTGTTAATGGATCCACTTCAGAAAATATGTTCATTGCTTGCTCCATATAATATCCACAGACCTCTCACCTTTTCACATCGTTTTAACACATCTAGTTTCTCGGCTAAGCTTATGCACTTTCTATAAGCTTTTGAAACAACACTACCATCACTTGCTCTCTTGCTCATTTTGAATAGGGATGCAAAAATGCTGTAAGAAACCTGAGAAAGTTTTTCTCCTTTTCATGTTCAGATGCCAGCTGCAATTGTTTATACTAGTGATGCTGGCATGACCACTAACAATCCCGGCAGCATTCGTGAGGAAGGCATGTTTTTTTTTTTTTTTAATATCGGGATTTAGTTATTATTTGTACAAAAATGTAATATATTTTTTATAATTTCGTCGTTAATATGATATAATGCCGTAAATTGAATTGGGTCCTGAAATAACCACGGTCTTAAATATGAATCTTCATTCGTTGAACCGTCGTTATCGGAGGCTTTACTGTACTTTATACTGTACCCTCATTAATGTGACAAAAAATGGGCTCTGGGTCACTCGAATTCCCTAGAAAATCCAGCACTTGAGAGATGGTGAGTGCTGCCAATATTATTAAGGAGAGCGGGACCAATCAGGTGTTACTGCTCTGTAAACAAGTGACTGGGAATATACTATGGTGCAATAGTTCATCCTTGATTGGTGTGGGATTTTTGGGGGAAAATTAATTAATTTTCTAAAATGTTTTAATGACCCCGCACCAAATGAACCCTAAATACTGTAATCGGGGAATTGTGGTGAAACTACATGTTGTCGTTATAAAGGGATGGCGGGCTAACGAGCACGGGATGTGGTGAGTTGTCCTCTCCCTCCTTCTCCCCCTCCACCACCCCTCACCGGCTAAACACCCAAACATAGTTTTGTATCTTAATGTAATTCGTTTTATTCCTATAATTCATTCATCTTAATCTATTTCATAATATATAACTACAATAATGTTATAGATTATTGCTTGTTGTATGATTTGACTCAAATCTTTGTCATGTTCTTTGAAAATATTTCCTCCAGTACATTTAGTATTAAATAAAAATGTTGAACCAATTTGAAAAATGTATCATAATTTAACTTAATAAATTATC